TTTTTTTTTAATGCCATCATTACACGAAGTTCAACGGTAATATTATTTAACCCTAAAAGTAGTAGATATTGACAATTCTTCTACAATTTAATGATGGCATATAAAAAAAAAAAAGGGCAAATAGCAAATAGGCGCATGACAATGGCACTTTATTAAAAAAGGACATCCAACTTTTTTGTTTTTCAAATAAATCCAGCTCATTCAAACTTATTTGCAAATAAGGAAAATTCTTTTATATATACCAAAATTATTCTCAATTCATTGAAACCCAATTCAACTCCAATTTTATGATTTACACCCCAATTTAGTCCAATTTCACCAATTAATCAATTTTAACCCTAATTTCAATTTTGACCCCAATTTTAACCCGCCACCACTGGAGACCGCCGCTCAGCCGCCGTTGACCGCCGGTCTCCGGCGTTGACTTTTTTTTTTTTTTTTTGAAAACTTTTTTTTTTCTGAAATTTTTTTCCGGTAGGTCAACCGCCATTGACCGCGTCTCCGGCGCTGACTTTTTTTTTTATAATTTTTTTTTTCTTAAAAAAATATTTTAATTAATATTACTGTCCTGACTGCTAAATTACTGGCTCCAGCAGTTATTTAACTGTCGGAGTCAGTAATTTAACTGTTAATTGACTTTGTTTTCTTCTTAATTTTGTTTAATTAATATTACTGTCTTGGCTGCTAAATTACTGTCTCCAACAGTTATTTAACTGTCGGAGAGTGTAATTTAACTGCTAATTGACCTTTTTTTTCTTAAAGAAATATTTTAATTAATATTACTGTCTTGGCAGCTAAATTACTGTCTTTAACTGTCGGAGACAGTAATTTAACTGTTAATTGACTTTTTATTTTTGAAATTTTGTTTTTTTCTTGAAAAAATTATTTTAATTAATATTACTGTCTCCAAAAGTAATTTAACTGTCTAATATTACTGTATTAATTAATTTTATCGTCTTCACCTGCATTTTTGTTGTCTTCGACTGTAATACTATTGTCTCATTCAATACTATTACTACTTGGGACAGTAATATTAGTAATATTACTGTTCGGAAAAATAATATTCATAATATTACTGTCCCAGACAGTGATATTGCTGTCTCAGACAGTAATTTAGCAGCCAAGATTGTAATATTAATTAAAATATTTTTTTCTAAGAAAAAAAATTCAAACAAAAAAAAAAGTCAACGGCGGAGGCCGGCGGTCAACGGTGGTTGACCAGCCGGAAAAAAAATTCAGCAAAAAAAAAAGTTTTGGGAAAAAAAAAATCAATGTCCGAATATGGCCGGAAAAAAAATTCCGAAAAAAAATTATTTTTTGAAAAAAAAAAATATTTTTTCAAAAAATTATTAAAATGGGAGTTAATGTGATATATTTGTTTAAATTCGGGGTCAATGTGTAATATTAAGGAAGTTAGAGCATAATTGATGAAATTCACAAAAAATATATTATGGAGGGTATTTTTGACTAAAGACATGGGGATGGTTTTATTTGAAAGACTGTTTTTTTTTTGTGGACCAATGTGCATTTAAGTACCTTGGGATGGACTTTTTTGCCATACGCCCAAAAAACAAATCTATTTATTAATAATTAAAAAGAAAAAGGACCTTGATTAGAGATCCCCCTGAAGCTGCCTGTCCACGAAGACCGTTCACCAGCACCCTCAGATTCTGTTTGAATTGGTCGGGACTCGAGAAAGTCCCGGCCCGGCCCATGACGAAATAACCGTCGGCCCGAACTCCAAATATGGGCTCATCTGAGTAGCGCAAAGTGCAAGTATCTTTCCACAGTATTGCCTGCTTTCGATTCACGCACAATTTTGTAATCTCTACCGAAGCGCCTCTAACACAAGTACGGCACGAATCGAGCTGGACGTCGGTTCTGCAGAGAGCTGTGGCGTAGGTTCGGTTCGGCATTCGGCCCACGTATGCACTGTAGAAACCGGTGTCGTTCATGTTTGAGGAGAGTGACGAAAGGAGGGTTCGGAGATTGTTGTCGAACGTGCTGTTACTTACGTAGGTTTCGTTTTTGAAGCACCCGTAATTCTGGCCTGAAATATTCTTTGGCAATATTATAATAATCAAGAACATTATTAATACCAATGGAATAAACCATTTTTGAGAACCCATATATTAATTCTAAGGTTTTTTTTTTTTTTTCCCTAAGAATCGAAACGGGATGATTTACTTAATTGAAAGGTGGAATATGATTTAAGAAACTTTGGTCAACTGCTACTACTTTTCAGTAGAGGAATAAAAATAAAAGAATTAATAACAACTTAATGGGCTTTGTGGAAATACAAGACTTGGATCTTGAATGTGACAGGAGTCAGTAAGGACAAGTGGGCAACCATTGACCATTTCAAAGTGACCTTGCAATTTAAGTTTACACGTTTCCAATTTCTGGATTAAAATTGGAAAATTAAATTTTATTTATGTGTTGTATCAACTTTAATATTTATGAAAATTTCCCATTTTATACGTTATTGAAAAATAACTTTTGAATAGAGTCAATTTACTCTTCTTTTTTCTGTTTTTTTTTTTTGTTTTTTTTTTTTTGTTTTAATTCTTATTATATGTTTGACATTTATCATGTTATAGATTTCAACGACCAAAACATCATTCTAGAAGGGAGAAGTTTTAATTATCTATCGTAAGAAATATGGATATGTTTTACTATGAATTTAGAGAACTTAGAAAACTTATTTGCTCTGACCTATCATCTTTATTATTCAAGGTTCATGGGTTATATCTATTTCGCCCAATAATTTGCAGTAGAATGGGGTCCAGCGCCGGTCAACGACAGCAGAAAAAAGAAAAAAAAAGGAAAAAAAAACAAAAAAAGTCAACGTTGGAAACCGGCGGAAAAAGCAGACGGAAAAGAAAAGAAAAAAAAAAAGATAACGCCGGAGACCGGCGGTGACGGGCGAAATTGTAGTCAAAATAGGTTAAGTGTCAAAATTGAATAATTTGGGGTCAAATTGAGGTTAAATTGCATTGAATGAAATTGAAACATATTAAAATGTGATGGGTAGTTTAATATTTAACACACCTCTGAATACTGTTTGGATTTTTTTGTAAAAGATTTTTTGTCTTGACATTTTTATGAATAAGTAGCCATGATAGACTTATTTGTAATAGACTCGTATATATATATATATATATATATATATATATATATATATATATATATATATATATATATATATATATATATATATATATATATATATATATATATATATATATATATATATATATATATATATATATATATATATATATATATATATATATATAT